GGAGAGAAAGGTTCAACCGTACTCCTTAGATTTCAAGTGAAGCAACACGAGGTGCGTCCATCTCCCTGTGCTCTGCTTCAGAAGCCTGTCTGTGCAACAAGGATAATGAGAAGACTTTACAATAACATGTGGTGCGTGCAAGGATGTCCCAGACAGGAAGGGAGAAAAGGAAAGGAGGAAATAAAGTGGGTTGTGGCTGCTGCTAGGGCATGTCTTGCTTCTCCTATGGACGCAAAGACGCCAATGTCAGTCCAAAAGCCTCATACCATGATCCCGTGCTAAATACACACACACCCTTGCGCAGCGTTCGTGCCCGTAGGTTCGAGAAAATAGGGCAATAGTCTCACTTCCAGAGCATCATATGTGCTTACAGACAACACACATTAAGAAGCATGTGTCTCAGCACCTCTTACCGATTTGTTTCTTACCTGAAGCGTGCCAATTTCTTGAAAGGCCGCGATACTTCAGTCTCCAAACGTATGTCCGAACGTCAAGTACTACGAGTGTAGGAGGGGTACTGAACGATAAGCATTCTCATGACACAAACCAATATATTGCTAAGGAGAGTTTGTAGACATGCTTCTCATTAAGGGATAAGTGTCGTGGCTGAAAGAGGACCGGGCAGCGTGGGCTTAAATTCTTTTTTCTCATGGTGCTTTGAAGCATTAGAGTACTGCCCTACTTCCCCTCATCTCCGAGAATATTTTCACGACCATCACAATACAAAAGCCGACGGATACACAGGCCAAACTACCGGTTATTGGCCATGCTATTCATTTTCTTATGTTTGGATCACTTTCGTTTGTGATGCTTTCTGGGGTCTGCGTGACGCGAGTAGTACCTGTCCCTGCCCTCTCTGCTTGTGAGGGTCTCTTTTTTCCTTCTTCTCTTCTTGCAAAATAAATTTTGTTCCCCATTTCTTATCTTACATTTTTTTGATTGACTTACTGATAAAATCGAGGTTTAATGAGTTATATGGCTTTTTTAAAGACCTGGTTATCTTGAGCCTGAGAGTGTCGGGAGTCCGTTGTGTCCCCCCAAAAAGTTCTATGCTCCCAAAAACACGATACTTTGTGTCTTACTCCTCTCTTTCCCAGAAGTAAATGCATTTTGATGCCCTTAATTGTGGTCTAACATTTCTTCTTACAATAAGAAATGGGCAAATGCACAGAGCCGAAGTTGTCTCTGATGGTACTCGTATTTCCCCCTGTTCCGATGACTACCATCCCATTGCGTCCAAAAAGAAACACAGAGAATGGCTGCAACAATAATTTCACGCCTCATGCTTTGGTGGTTGTTGTTGTTGTTGTTGTTGTCGCTGTTGTTGCTGTTGTCCTCCACCCTCTGTCATGTACATACTTACACGCCTTCAAGTTTTTCCTCCCTCCCTTCTCTTTTCCTCACTTTCCCTGAGCTAATTTTCACTCTTTTGAGGCTTTCTCCTTCTTTTCTCCTCCAAGGCAGGCTGCTCCATTTTAATCTGTGATCCAAGCCACCGTATAGCGCTCCATCGACGCCACGAACGGCCCTTTCTTTCCTATCTCTCGATCTTCTGCTCCTTCCGTCCAGCGCCAGCTCTCGTGGAGGACAGGTGATTCCTCCAGCGCTTCCACGTGGGAAAAGGAAATGGTGGGTGGGTCGTCGTCCTCTGGAGGACCTGCACCGGGGACCTGGCAACGCGAACGAATGGAGGGAAAAGAAACGGAAATGAGAAGAGAGCCCAGGTGGGTTTTGCTTGGAGAAATACCGTGGGACAGGAATGAGCAGGGAATCAAGCCGGGTCTCCCATCGAAGATCCCGCATGCATCCGCCATTCGTACTTCTCCCCACACGGTGTCCCCCGCCTCCATACCTGATACGGATAAAAGACAATACGGAAGCCTTGGATTTTGGCATGCGGGCAGTTGGCAAACTCCATCTCGTCCTCAAAGGTCGCGCCAGGTGTCCATTCACGGAAAGCAGGAGTGGTTGCTTCGTCGCTTTGTCGCCCTGCTTCGTCGAGGACCATAATCACACCCAGGCTCCCATCCTGGCAGACAGGTGGGAGGGAGGGAGAGAAGAGCAGCGTTAAAAAATAGACAGCCACAGTTTGAGTTCATAAACATCTTAACAATTTCAGATGGCTTGCATCTCGTATCTGACAGAGAGCTTACCGTTGAGTTCTGTTGATCTTTTGACACAGTCCATTTCCATTGGATTTTGCAATGGGCCCCATCGACCATTCGCTTCTCCGCGGCCGCTTGAGCCGCCAACGCCATTTTCACAGCGTCAGCAGGGGATCCAACTGTCCTCAAATACGAACGTGGGGCTGGGGAATAGGAAATGATGGTAGGCGGGTCCGCTTCCAAGTTTGTGGTGCTGTCAGCAACCACGCTCTCTGGACCACGTAAGACTGCTTTCCCTCCCATCGAGGGGAGGACAAGAAGGAAAACGCATTGCAAAAGGTAGATTGTCCGAATTCCCATTGTGATTTACCGTCGATATTAGGAACCAAGCACCTGCTCATGTAGGTGTAATGGAAGTGGCATGATGCAGCACAGGTGTGTCAGATCCTTCGAATGATATGCCAGCAGAAGGTTTCTTTAAAAAAAGAGAACGGGCGATTACAAGGGTATTACAAGACACTAGACAAATCAATCTATCTCTCACACGTCAGCCAAGTGAAAAGCGCGCAATGTAATTGAATGTGCCCCTGCTTTCGAGCCGTCTTCTTGAGTTGTCCATCAGGCCACCCCGACCGTTGAGGGCCCATAAAACCGTTTCACGGCCCATCGAGGCACAACCACTGGTAGTTTATCCGTACGTTGCTGACAACAACCCCCGGACTATGTTCTTACGAGTAACATATTGGATGCTTAAGGGAAAAAAATAAATACATTACTACCTATCGGGACTGATCCGTGCATACACAACGTAGCCATCATCTCCATAATCAGCTATGTCCCTACCAAAAGCATCATGTCACAACCTACACTTCCCAGAAGCACCTTTCCCAAGAATGAGTCCGGCAAAAGTATTCAAGTTGAACGTGGTGCGGATTGCATCCCGTTTGACGAGTGATCGCTTTTCGCTATGTACATTTTCTTGGCTGTAAGCCGGTGACCAACGCGTTTCTTTCACGTAGATAGAAGTTTAGAGCTGCAGGGGTGGGAGGTTAAGGGGAGAAGGGCAAAATTTGCGGGCCATCCTGCCTGGAGCAATACATTTGAGCTATCACATACATGAAGGGACAGATATATCAAAATCATTGTCAATGTTTTGAACAATCACGGATGCTGCCCCCAGTGTGAATTTTGCATTACGTTGCTTACCAAAAACAACACGCGGAAATAAAATCACGAAGCCTTCATATAGGATCCAACATTTAAAGAAAGAATTTTCGCTTATTTGAATATCATCCTGGAGGGAGTGTTACAATTTCGCGTCTCATCAAAATTGCCTTTACACATTTCTGAAAATCCTATGAGTGCTCATACAGGAGGCCTCGATTTTCGGCGATGCACCCAGGTGATAACCGTCCGTTCATGCGACGAATTTGCATGAAGCCACAGTAACCGAAGTACTTCTGATTTATCTTCGTCGTCCCGGTGCCCTTCTTCTCTCTTTCTACTCGAACGGCAGTAAATTTCAGGGTCCTCGGCCCATATGCGTTCTAGGTCGCGCAGCGCTTTCTGGAGACTGTATGGAAGACATTCCAACACCCACGTAGGCACAAAGAAAACAAATAAGAAAGGAAATAGTATCACATAGTGTGTGAAAAAATCGTAGCGAAGCTCGGAGGAAAGGGAAAATCGTAGCGAAGCTCGGAGAAAAGAAATGGGGAGGGCTGAAAAAGCAAAAGGGAGAAAAGAGGGAAGGAGGGAGGAAAGTGAAAGGGGAGGAGAGAGGGGGGAAGGGAAGAAGGAGGACGCAGAGGCCTACCGTGCACCAGTGGGCTTCCGTGGAAACTTCAGAGTGAGAATTACGAGGGCGTGGTGGGCCACGTGCGGGAAGACATGTTGAAGGATGAGATCCGCCGCCCCCTGGGGAGAGAAAGAAGAGATATGGGAAGTGAAAATACAGGGTAAGGGTAAAAGTCTATGGATTAAAAATTCATTGCCAAGTCTTTGAAAAACCGGTGAGACATCTTTTCCGATTCATACCATGGACCCTCACCTGCGGGAAGAGGTTGATGTCCACACAGACCAAATGGAAGGGCCCTTCCTCCTTCAAGACCTCCGTCGCTTCCTCCGCTTGGATCCGGTACGGGACGTGGCGGACATTGGAGAGGGAGGGGAGGAGGGAAGGATGAAGGCTCGCCCCGTCCACAGCGACGACCTGAGACAGTTTATCACTGGGCAGGGAAGTGGGAATTTGGGAGGCCAGGAAGGAGGAAGGGGAGGATTAGGAAGAAGGAAGGACGACGAGACACTTCGTCCTAGAGGACCATGGCTCTGTATCCACTACAATCCTCTGTTCCTCCTTAACTTCTCTCTCCCTCCCCTCCCTCTTGAATTGTACCTGAGGTATTGCGTCCACCCCCCCGGCGAAGCCCCGACGTCCAAGGCTTTCCTGTCCTTCTTCCACATTTCTTCCTCCATCCCGCCCTCCATCCCTTCCTCCAACCGCTCCTCCCATATTTCCCGCATTTTAAAATATGCCCGGGAGACGGGGGGCAGGGAGGAGGAGGAGGGTGGTTTTTCGAAGGAAGGAGGGAGGAAGGAAAGGAAGGATGGAGGAGGGGCGGAAGTAGGGCCGGTGAGGGAATGGCTCTGTGTGAGGCCGTAGTAGAAGAGGGGGCTCCATTCTGGATAGGTGTGGGTAAGGGTAAGTGAGCCGGGAAAAACCAATCTCCGGACCCCGAATGAAGAGAAAACATTCAGGGTGGGTGCATTGGCGAAGAAAGGTTCTGGTCTGGCCCGGTTAAGGTAAATGCAAGAAGTCTCGCAAAGTTGTGCACTGGATTGACGATAGTTGAGGATGCGCATCGCAAAAAGAAAGCAAACAGAAGAGAGGATCCGGAGAAGAACAAGACCTTAACTCCAGCGCTAAAGTTAGACACACCTTCCCCACCCTACGCTTCTCCCTCCTTCCCTCCCTCCCTCCTTCCCTCCTTACCAGGGGAATGAACCACGTGCAACACATGCGACGCCTGAGAGGCGGAGGGAGAAAGCTCTTTTTCCTCCAACCGACAGCCTTGGGCGACTGGAGCTGTCAAGAGGATTTCTCCGATGGCTACCTCCATGTTCTTGGGGAACGCGGAGATCTTCAGGCAAAACGATCGAGAAAGGCTTTGGGGGAGGGAAGGGAGGAAAGAGAGAGAGGGAGGAGGATGAGCAGCCGCGATTTGAGCGGTAAGATGGGAAGGGATACTAATAGGAGCAAGCAAAAGATGTGAAGAAGCAGTCGCAAAGTGTTGACGATCCGGCCCATTGAAAGCTGAGGGT